GCACCCACACCCACTCCCAACCCACACCCACACCCACACCCACCCACACCCACACCCCATATATCAACTGGATTATTGCGTGCCTAAGCGATCATCGAGCATTTATTGAAGTACAAAGTAACAGATAGAGATCTATCTCACTTAATCGAGAAGGTCCCAAGGTTCTGGTATAAATCCGATGTTGTTCATTGCATATCAAAGTGATACGGCTGACTTATTTTCTAAAGCTTTTTCTGTGTCTTCATGAATGATTTCATTGCAGGGCTGGCGATCAAAATTGGACTTAAATTTACGGATACATTGTGCCAATCTTGAATGTCGACTCGAACAGGGTATGAAGCAGTTGGAATTTTACTCGATTCTAGCAGTACAGCCAATCAACTACTAAAGGCGCAAGGAATGTTCTCAGCTAGAGTCGTCTGCTATCCAAATCAAGAGCCACAACTCTATTGTGGTGATCAATCGTCAAAATGGGTCTCTTTGTGTAAGTATCTGGGCTTTGGGTTGACAATGAAGTTAGATTGGGGAAATGATATTAGCAAGACTCGTTAGTTCGTTCGTGTTTAGTGGTATATAATCTACACAGTTAAGGCGTGTACTGTTCTCCACTGTTGTGCTATCACATCTCGCAAGGTTGTCTGCACTGTATCTCTTATGTATTGGCACTCAACGAAAGGATCTCGAACATCTATACTTTACGTTGCTGAAGCGAATTTATCATTGCCAGTATTAAGAGAATTTTGTCTTCTCGTTAACATATAACGAAAAGCCGTTGGATGATCTAGGTCTCACCTATTGGGAGAAGTATACAAAAGCGTTGTGAAAAACTATCGATATATCAGTACATCTAGAACAATCATCACTTAATGCTCACATATGGTATTGGCAAGAGGGAAATGTGCAGATACAGTCTACATAGATCAAAAAGGTTTGTTTTGCACGTTGATGTATTAGAGCAGGCACTTGGATAGATGATATTGCATGATTTCGAACACTGAGTAGAGGCACTTAACATAGAAGAATTCTTGTGTTTTGCTCAATTTCCTGAATTTTTCTAACAAATGGGATTTGTTCGAAATGGTATTGGGTCCTGATGACAAAAAAATACAATGCATGAGAGTACAAGAAAGATGAGAGGAGTGGAAAGCAAAGAAAAAATGAAGAACAGCGTAAGAAATATGGAAGGAAAATAAAACCGAAAAATCTGAACACATCATTCATCTCTTAGGGGATAAAAGAAAAAAATATATTTCTCTCCAGTTATTTCATTTGGTCGGTGTTGCGTTTTATATCAACAGCACAGAACGCTCGCGATGCCTCTTTCTTGAGTTGGCTCGTTACATTACAATATAATACAATACACTCATCTTTTTAGTCAATATACCTTAACAGTTTTCTCCATACTATCAATGATACTGTTCACTCATCTATTTATCTATGTATCTTGCTTTCCTTTCATTGTCAGATTGTCTTTTACAACGAACACGCGGTATAATCACGTGAAATCGGATCAGTCTCTATGAGTTGCATTAGATGAGCGACGCTACAGTGAAAGATCAAGGTGTGTTGATGTGCGTATGCGTATCGTTATGGATGTCACTGGATATATGATATTGGACTCGTACACTTATGCCAATACCCTTTGTAGATAGTCTAAATGCAGCCAACAGAAAAAGCATTAAAAAGCCTTGAAATAATACCGATGAGTCTCATCTTGTTACGATGACGATAAAAAAGAGCCTATTTTTTGCAATATCATGATATTGACGTCAATGATAGGATTTCCTTAAAAAATGTTACATCTGTAGTATTCAATAAAAAAAACTTATTTCTCTTTGATTCTCTCACTTTTTATCGCTATTGCAGCTGCATTTATATAAGCCAAGCGACTGTGTTGCAAAAACTGAAACCAACATCTGAATGTCAACAGCTGGAGAACGTCCAACAGTCAGAATTCAGCATTTTGCAAATTTATTTAGTCTTTCAAAGAGCTGATTATGTGATTTGTTTAAATTCTACTTTCAATTATATAGAATTCTATGTCATGAAAAACAATGTTAAATAGTCATATGTTTAGCCTAAGCTTGTCTTTTTTTTTACTAATAACACAATGTCATTTTGTACTTTGTAGTTTGTTGTGAATTCTTCATTAAGATATCTTTTCTTTCCGATATATACAGCTGCATTTTGCGTATTCTCATTTCGTCTTTTGCTATTAGTAACCCAGTTCTATTTTGAATTCTGCTCTTTGTTTTGGGAAAGCGAAAATTGATCGTTAAAAATTAACCGATACGAAAATTACGTGATGCGAATATTAGTTGAGTAATGTATCATAACAAATTAAATTTATTTGATCAACAATAGAAATCGATACTACCAAGTAGAGGTATGAATTAATAGTATTATACAGGTACACATAAAAATTATTGACAGCAAAAAAAAGTAAAACAAATATGAAAAACAAAGAGAAGTAACACCCATACTCACAAAAATTATAAATTATGAGCAAGTACTTCTAATTATTGTAAAATATATGGTAGTGGATGTATAATTAAATTACGTAGACGTACACTATAATTTAAATATTTTAAATTTGGCGTGATTTTTTCGCCAGAATTAAGCTTAATTCATTGACAGTGAATAAAATGTTCTTCAAATTTTAAATAATAAATGACTGCCCAAAGAGTAGCATGTTGGCATTGAATAATTGAGCTTAAACAGCAGTGCCAAGCTTCAGTCGAAGCGTTGGTACCCATTAAAAGATTAGTCATCTGTTGATTCACGTTCCAAAATTCGATTTCAAACATCGATTTTGATCGTTCTTGTAAACAATTTCTTCTTACATAAGTATCTGCAAAATAATCTAATAATGAATGTAATATTTGTGGCAATGAATTAAAGAAATCGTTTAAACCTTGACTAAAATCATTTAGATGAAGAAAAGCAAGAGCAGTAATTTTATTAATATGATGGGTAAATACCGCATCTAGTTCATAATTTGTTTTGAAACCAAAGTCTCTTAGAAAAAAAGTTTCAAAATCAAGCTTTTTTAAAGGGCTAAGTTACTGACTTTGATATTACGTTGAATACTATTTGCAGCTGAAAAAGCACCCTGACATTATGGATGGATTCGTTGTTCTGTAAATTTACCAGCAAATACATTGATTGAGGATTTTTCAAAGTCCATCATTATAAATTTTGGATTACACAATGGATAAAGTTCTGATTATTTATCAAGGGTGTGGGTGTGCGGTGTGGGTATGGGTGTGGACGTGAATAAAGTAAAAAACAATGTGAACACGCACACCCCACCCACACCACACCCCACCCCCACCCCCATCCCCACCCACACTCACACCCACACCCACACCCACATCCACCCACACCCACACCAACATCCACCGGCACCCACACTACTAAATGATACTGTCACCATTTGGTCTTAGAAATGAGAAAAAATTCTATAAAAAGTAGATCAAAACGGTTTGAGAGATGATTGCAAGAAGTTGATCGAAAGAGAAGAGAGCGTGTCGATGTTGATAGTTTGATAGGGAATGCTTGCTAAATAGGAGAATCAAAGGAACGGGCGAAGAGCGAAAGCGCGATCAACCTTTTTTCCGTATTTCTTAGTTTTTCTCTTTAGCATAACATTGAAAAGTCACTCCTTAGGTACTGAAAACCAATGGTAAAATATACAATCATACGTATGTCAGCTTTTATTTTTGTGTTAAACTGCTTTGCTAATTGTCTTTGAATTTCAATATCCAAATAATGAACTCCCTTCTCAGATGGCATCGGTATTGTATATGTTATCTGTGTAAGTGAGTATTTATCGTTTGTAGAGCATTCTGATGATTTGAAAACAAATACAGTCACTTCTCTGTAGTTATTCACAAGTTTCATTGGTATTTGAAAGCTAATATATCAAACAAACCATGTAGTATTATGTAGATCTTTCATTTTTGTCAATAAAAAACACGTTTTTTTGTGCTTACACTGATTTAGGATTTCCTCTGCGATTATACTTATGAAATCACTTCAATATCAGAATGTTCAGTTTTAGTCGTTGGTGATGACGGAATGTCAATAAGATGCATGTCGATTAAAATCAATGCAACCTTTTCCATCAAATTAAGAAAGTAATCTAGTGTTTCTGTCACGATTTGTACTGCGCGAACAGAGCTGAGAACAGGTACACAATGAACAATGGTTGCATATCGATTCGATAAACAATTTTTGAATACTGCTTCAAAAGTCGTATCATCTAGAGCAGGCAGTATTGAATCGATTGTCTGCCGAACGTATTCTGATGATGTATCTTTCAATGCAACCAAGCGTTTGACAGCTTCATTGCATAGGCCCAACTGTTGACGATATTCTTTTGCTTCAGTTAGACAAGCTATAAGATTGACATTTGTTGAAAGAGCAGGAACAGGTAGAATAGCAGCTGCAGCAGTAGCACTGCATACAATCCACTGTCGTCTTCGAAGATATTCAACTTTTAGTCGTACAGCTGCACGACAATGTGCACTCATGGAAAAGACAAAAGATTCACGTTTCAATTCAGGGTATGCTTGGCAAAGATCACGCATAAAATCATCCATATCCCATCGATGCAAATTTTTTTGACGACCGCTAACTAAATAAACCTTCCGTTGATGTGAACATTGAGGTAATTGCTCTAAACAATCCGCACGTATCTTTTGTAATACGGTACGTTCATCGAACGGAGGAGGTGAATCTTCTTCATCATTCTTAATGTCCTGATCGATTTTACTACGCAGAAAAAAAAATGGTTTTCTCATTTGAATCATCTGTTCGGCTAGCCAACTGTCATTTTCGGTAAAACGTTCACTGCATATAATAATCATAGCATCGAATCGTTCAAAGCCAATTAGTTCAAGATATCGGTCACGAGGAAAGTTTTCTGTTCCAACGCCTATAAAAAAACGGTGCTGATTATTGGAAAAAAACAAATCATCGTTTATGAAAATTATTTCTCAAAAGTATAATAGTTACTGTATTCCATTGCTGACAATTATACATATGTCATTCGAATGTAAATCCAGTAAGCTCATACAAATGAGAACAGTGAAGATTAATAAATTAAGCATTGCTTCCCTGACGAAATACCGACCATACCTGGCAAATCCCAAAATGTTAAATTTTTATGTTGAGGATGTGGATAATCTTTAATTTCTTTAGTGGTTTCCGTCGAACCTGTTTTAGCAGCTAGAGGACTGTTGGGTTTCACTTCTCGTATTGCATTGATAAAACTTGACTTTCCAGCACCACTTTTTCCAGTGACAGCAATATTCAGAGACAATTGTTCCCATTCTCGTAAACGAGACATCAAATAGGGACCGATTTCATCTACACCATGTGTGCTGAAATATTCAGCGAACAATTGTTGTTCTCTATCGAGAGGAACTTGATTCTTATCAGCTTTTGGATGCAAATTGCTTGATAATTTTGGATCAGCTATTAGCACATCTATACGAAGAATTTTGACATCATTTTCAACCACTTAAACATAAAATTAGTTTTAATACAACTAAGATATGTGCGATTATTTAAATCGTCTGTTATACAGCTATCTACCTTTTTCGGTCGACATCTAAACTGGTAATTGCACTTAACAGAGATCATCATTTAACAGATGATCCATAATAAATTGGTCAAAATGTTTTTGTCTTTCTACAGCATTTTCCGATGCTTTATCATGTGTTTACATCTAACATACGATTTTGTTTTTGCTCAGTTCAGAATCTAAGCAGTGAGCATCTTTTCAACCATGTAAGTGTAACACATAAAAAGCAAAAATTAGTTCAAAAGTTGTATCTAAATTTCAAATATGCTGCAGGGATTGGCAAAAAAAATGCCTCTGGTGAGGCACAATTGAATACATTGCACTTTCAACCTAACAAATATATTATTCTGTCACTTATCAAAGCTTACACTCGAAATCATGGGAATGAACTTATTTTAGATTGAATATTGCTTTCCAGAATATTGATTTAAAGTCTTTTTATTCTCAATTAAAACAGCAGAAATATTAAGTAGATCGTGGAAGCAAATAGTAGATTTTCTCGATTTCTTTTCTACCTGATTCATTGACCTGCTCTTGTGACCGAGTTGTGTATTTAATCATGAGATCTTTCTTCAATCTTTCAAAATCCCATTTTTCTTTATCCTTTGAATTATTTCCAATTAAGTAGATATCATTTTTAGAATTTAAAAATTCTCCATATTGAGACCAAAGAGATTCGTGTTCGTTCTCCAGTGTTTCGCCTTCATTCACAGCCGAATGAGCATTTCTTCGAGTACCGTTCACAGTTTCATAGAAATGTGTTCGAATGATAAATAAAGCTTTATTCTCTGCTGTATGCCGAAGAGAAGCTATTGTATGATCATTCGGTGTTGAGGTTCTCGGAACAATAAAAAGTACTAAATCACTGTTGATGGTGCATTGTCTAACAGTTGCCTCTTTGATTGAAATTCACAACAGAAAAATTATACGAATTCGTTCTATACGATATAAGAAGTTTATCTACCTTTTTTTGACGAGATTTTTCGAAGAATAACTGATTTATTCTTGACAAATGTATATTTATCTTTGGAACAGTATGTTGTAGGTGCAATAAAACGTGTTTGCTTTAGAAACCGAATCAGCATGGATTTTCCTACTCTTGAACTCGTACTAACCATGGATATGCTAACAGTATGCTTCGATGAAGCAGTTTCCATGACTATCGAATCTTTCGTATTGACTTCGTCTAGATCCTTCTTCATGTTTGATGAACAACATAGTTTTAAACTCATTTTCTATCTGAAAATAGAAGAAAAAAATTGCAAACATGACAAATAATTTACAAACGAATTCAATTAAAGTTAGCGCTCGATTGTACAATAATCTCTTGAACTTGTAATGCAGCCTGTTCCATGTCATTCAAGATAGTATTTAATATATAGAGCGTAGTACCAAAGGAGGCTGCACTTGCAATAGCGGATCCAATCAGTGGTATATATCGTGCACTTTCTTGCTTTATCATCGATGTAGCAACTGATCTTGCAACAGATAAAACAAATTGTCCTACACTAGCGACTGCTTGAATGGGAATTCTCTCGTCGATTGTGATTGTAAATCGCTCGTATGGTATTCCATGACGTTCACTCAGCGTGCGTATCGCATCTTCGGTAAGGCCTAATTGTTGTCGATAGAATTTTGTTTCTTGTATGCATGCTGTTAAATCAAAGCCAATTGATACGAATGGAACTGGTATGACAGCTACAGCAGCAGATGCTACTGCTACGAGCCATATACGCTTTCTTAGATGAACTGTCTTAGCTCGAACAACATCTTTACAAACGGGATTCATAGCAAGAATGAAAGCATGTCGTTTCAAGTCAGGAAAATGAGTCAATAAATCAGCCATTAACCGAGGATAATCCCATCGCTGATTGTTATTTAACTTACCACTGATTAAATACAATGCAGACGAGAAATTCTTATTATTACTTTCTAGATGTGCTAAACAATCATTTCTAATATTTGCTAAAAGATTTTCTTCATCGAATAATTCTTCTTGTTCATCTTGAGTATTGTCAATATCAGCATCGATTTGTGTACGTATAAAGAAAAAACCCTTATTAATCTTGTTAATTTCTTTGGCAAGCCATGTGTCATTTTCAGTGAAACGTGTTCGACAAACAATGAGAAAAAAATCATATTGATTGAAATTCATCGCAGTTATATAGGCTTGCTTTGGGCATTTCTTTGTGCCGACGCCTAGAAAAGTCAAATCAAACTCATTTTAAGTTTGCCTCTTTTTACTGTCACTATCGAAACCTGGTAAATCCCAAAATTTCAAATTTTCATTTTCTGGATGTGGATAGGCTGTTGGTAATGATGTACATTCAACAACATTGACAGCGGCTGCACCAGGATCATATGGCCGAAGAGAGTGCATAGTGTTAATAAGTGTGGATTTACCAACGCCACTGTTTCCTGTTACAGCAACATTCAGGGAGCATTGTTTCCATCGATCAAGTCGTTCTTGAGTAAAATTTTTTAGGCCCTCAGCACCATTTTTTTCAATAAAGTCAGTTATAGAATCAGTAAGGTCATCGCTGTCTGTTCCCGAGACGAGATTGGCAAGTGCTGGACTGGCAGACATAATCAAACGATATCGTCGAAACAGGAATGAGGGTCGCTCCAATAAATCAAAGGAAAATATTTGAGTTGTAATAAAATACTCCGTTGAGGTATTTTATTCAAACTGTTTTTATCGTGTCTTTTTATCTTAATCAAATATTGTCTTTGTTGGTAAGCTTAATACACATATTACAGGCGTATATGTTGTTTTGCTGTTGAATCATAGTTTCTTTCTTAAGGCGTCGTTATCGTGAATTTTAGATGCTGAAACTAAATATACTTCAAAATATTATGTTTTTTTTACATTTTTCCTTTTGTGGCAATTAGCGGCATCTAAGCAAAACGTAAGATTTTTTTTTTCTTTCTGATGACATGGTATTGATGAGGTTGTGAGTGTGAGTGTAGGTGTGGATATGTGTGTGGCTCTTCTTTTACTGCATACAACACTCTCACGACCGACACCTAGGGGTGAATCATTTACATTAATTTAAAACTAAGTTTAAGTTTCTCGCTTAACGCTTAATATCAAGTGATTAAGTGATTGAAATGAAAAAAAAAATGTCATGCGGATTTTAATTAAAACAAAGTTGAATAAAAAAAATACTGAGAAAAATCTTATACAGTAAGACTAGCATTACAATAAGAACTAGGGCTCATTGTTATAGCTATTGTAAACAACTGTAGTTCTTAGATATTGTATTCACTAATAGCAATAATGCTTCCTTTTCAAAGATGAGTACAGAACAGGAAGAAATTAATATTTTTGTCCTGCCTTGCCACTCGCCAGGGCGTGGATTGCTGGAGCGGCAAAACAAGACAGGACGAGGATGGTGGAGGGTGTGCGTGGGTGTGGGTATGTGTGGGTGGGTGTGGGTGTGTGTGTGGGTGGGTGTGGGTGTGGGTATGTGGGTGTGAGTGTGGGTGTGGGTGTGGGTGTGGGTGTGGGTGTGGGTGTGGGTGTGAGAGTGTGGGTATGGGTGTGGGTGTGAGGGTGTGGGTATGGGTGTGGGTGTGGGTGTGAGAGTGTGGGTATGGGTGTGGGTGTGAGGGTGTGGGTATGGGTGTGGGTGTGGATTTGCGTCTGAGTGTGGATGCGGATGTACGTTCGCTCTAATGAAATTCCGTGCATACCCTGGAAGGAAGCAAACGTTTTGAAAGTATCTCTCCTCTGTTTTGTAAGCCTTATGAATTTTAAAAGTATGACAATAGATGAATGCTTATGCCTTACTCCTTGCGAAGAGAGTTTTCCCACCTATGTTGATTTATCTGGAATAAAAAGGAACTGAATGGGTATTGACGACCGTGGTGTATTGTTAGATACGTTAGTCCGATAGTTGCACAGGCCTATATGTAAATTTACTACATCATTAAATTTATTCGTACTGGGAGAAAATTATTCAAAGTGAGGAAAAACGGTCGTCATCTGTGTAAATATCATCAGGAGCGAATGAAGATAAAGAAAGTTACAGTAAAATAATTTATTTAATTAATTATGTGAGTTGGGTGACAAAAATGACGATAACTAAATGATCAGCAATAAAAGAAAATCAGGTTTAAATATTCTTTGTATGACAATGAATAAAACCAAAAGCTATCTATTGGCACTGCTACTTAGTCGTAGCCTTTGTACTTTGAAACAAAAAAACTTTTTAGATATATATGTATTTATACATATATATCAAATCCTCAAGTTGAATTCAACTACTGACTTATTGAATGATTTGATACTTGATTTCAACTATTTAACTATTGAATTAGTCCAATAAATGAATAGTTTATAAACATATTCAAGTATTTTGAACAATTTCCAGGAACTCACCACAATATTCAGGAGGCTTACTTCAGTTTCTGCCCACGGAAATAGACGAGATAATTTCCTCTCAGGAGAGAATCAAGATATAGAAAGTAACAAAGGAAAAACTATCAATAGAGTCATCAGAAAACATTTTTCAACAATATCTTGGAAATAAGAAGTAGCACGAAGGAATCCACACACCCAGTTCTTCTAATAGACAATAGACGTGATCGAGTTGGCTACGTACCTATTTAGTTGGGGGGTCTATTGCACTTCGCAGCGCGCAGTGCATCAGGCACGTTTTCATGGCGCCGTCATATCGTATGCTTGATACCGAGACTTTGTATGTGCTTGTGCAAATAGATTTCTTTCTCTTAATATAATTCAGGTTGATTGTAGTACTTTTTTGGGACTATTAGCTTTCCGATTAATGTATCGACATTATTATGTGTAAGTTATGCCTTTTGGAGAACTAGTTCGACAACTGATTTCGTGTATGAAGAAAATTGCTGCGATCTTTGCTTTACATGCGAAGAGCCATGGCTGTCAAGTTTTGTTTCTGGAACTAATAGATTGAACTAGGATTTTGTCAAAAAATTTATATGATGACCTGCTGGCTCTAAGTCGAATTCGGACGCTTTTTTGTACGCATAATGGATTGTTAGCTTTATTTTATTGCAATTTTAGCAGTAGACCCAAGATTATACTGAAAGCGAATTTGATAGATTGTATTGAGAGTTAGTCTATACAGTAATAGCTTATTCAGCAATCTTCGAAGAAAGGAGTTCCCTCTAACAATCAAATCATAGATTTCTGCTTTCGGCAAAGATTGTGAAAAAATACTAGATCATTGCAGAGGTATAGCTTGAAAGATGATCAAGAGTGTCATAAAAATTACACTTTCATATGTATAATCGATACCTTATCCACTATAGCGATTTCGATGATTAAATCCTCACTTTTCTTCCTCATAAAGGACTCCAAATAGATAGGAACTGAAAGTGGATCAAATATTCCTGATTTAAATAATAAAGTGACTTTCGAAGGCGGGAAATAATAAAAATCATCGGTTCTCTGCGATGTGCAACAGTTGAAAATCTGAGTATCGATAGTTAATAGATACATTGTTGCGTATATAAATGTCAGAATTCTTTAATTTTTTGCATATGCATAGCTTATATTTGGCAGTCATAACTAATATATGAAAAATCGAATATCTAAACTTTCAAGTATTCAATAATTGAATAGCTGAGTATCTGAAAGTACCTTCGATAATTGAATTCAACTTTCAGGTTTGGCACTACTGATAAATGTGAGTAAACAAAATTACAAATAGCAAACATACATAAACTAATTTTATGTTATTCTTCACATGAAATAATTGTCAAATACCTGCTCGATCTAAATCGAGGAAAAAAAAACATTGGTAAAATTAATAGAGCAAAATAAAAACCACTTATTCGGTTCATTCCAATATTATACTTGGCAACTCTCAAAACAATAAAATGAAGAAAAGCAAAGCAAAGTTGATTTTCTAATTAAATTTCCATTATGGAATGTACAAGACTTTGTAGGATAAAGAAACAAAGAAAAAGAAATTAAACTACATTTTCACGTTTTTCTGAGATCAATTGAATAAAGCAAAGACCTAATTATCGAGAAAATGAGCACGAAACTAAGTTGTTCGACAGTTCTTTTTGTAAAATGCGCGTCCATTTTCAGAATAACTTAATGATACAAGACAAAATTTAAACACAACTCACCTTTTAGTTGTTTCTTAGAAAAATGACAAGCAATTCTCAGAATAACTAACTGAAAAAGAAAAGAAAACAATTTAACGACTTAATCCCGTTGCTAGAGGTATCATGAGAACTAAATAAAAAAAGGAAATTACAGTAAGGAAACCTTATTGGTTTTCCTCAGCGAGTGGCGAGCAATACTCAGAATATCTACAGGTGTAAGTTGTGTGACGGAGTCACCACCGCCGCCGTGAACGTTAGAATAGACTGTCTTTTACAGTCACCGTCGAAGATTTTCAAAAGATTAAACATTTTTCAGCACCGCCGCCGATCGACCACCTGGCTTATAACCCTACGAATAACAATACACAGGAGAAAAAGGAAACTGTTTTCTCATTTCATTACTGTTAAGAAATTTGAAGATGGAGGCTTAACATTAGTATTAGAAAAACTCTAATATCAAATAAATAAAGAAAAAAAATAAAATGTAGAATCCGTTTTTAGTTTTCTATCCACAAACGATATTTTATATAGCAAATATAAAATAATTATTTATTCAAAATACTAAATATTTATGCTGTGATCAAAACTGATTGAAATGGAATTTGGTTGCATATTCACACCATTCATAGAACTGTGAAATGTTATTTAAAAAACAACGAGAACAACAAAGTAAATCTGTAAGCATTAATGAAGAAGATTTTGGATGAATCAAAGAAAGGAAATTCTTAGCTGTATGAATTTTACTACAATGTAAAACAAAGCGTTTTCTTCTAAAGCTGAATTTCATTGTCTTTTTCAATGAATTATTCAACAATGATTATGATTGTTCTGTTCCATAGAATAAAATAAGAAAACATCGACTGAAGTCATAAGCAATACATTTGATATTGTTACAATGTAATGAAAACTTCAGTTTTTCTTTCGTCTTTTTATGCCCGCATAAAGAGAATATTTATTTGATTTCGTTGAAGCGTAGCAAAAAAAAGATGTATATCTATGATTATTGTTGTCAGCAGTAGGGGTACGCAAGCTCAGCTCACGAACTCCGCTCAAATGAGCGAAAAGAACTGTTCGAACAGCTCATTTGAGCGAGCCGAACTTTTGAAACAGCTCATTTCACATGAGCTGAACTGTTCGAACAGCTCATTTGAGCGAGCTGAACTT